CTTGTAAGCTAATTTAAATAATGGGGACAATCTCAGGAGGCTTTTTAAAACTGTGGAATTGAAATAGAGTAACCTTATCAAAAAATCTTTTTAGATATGTAACTACCCAAACTCTCTCGCTTTCTGAACTAGAGTGTTCATATTTAGCTGGAGTACTATGAGGGGATTTTTCTAAGTCACTGGAGTTGTAAACAAAATATGTGTCAAAATGTTCTTAAATGGACAGACCAGTCACTTCAGACAAGAGTGCTTAGGGTTTGGAAGGTTTTATAAAGCAATGTTTATTTGCTAGCAATCAACACTTGAGCAACATTCTTTATGTAATGGTAAAGTTTATTTCATGTTTAATAACAATTAAAGGACAAAATGTTTAAAATTTGCAGTTTAAAACATGCACATTCACAAAAGGCCAATGACACGTAACACTGCAGAGAACTGAATGTTACTCAACTTCAGTAACTATAAAACACAGTGCATTGAACATCAAGATAAATAAACCTGAGAGGAAACTACTAGAAACACAGATTCAAAACTCTCCACTCATGCGGCTTCACAATTTCTACAGCAGTTTCAGAAGGAATGGTTTTTCATAGAGCTGAAAATAATACTTTATCTTTAGTGCAAATTGTAGATTTCCATGGTGGCTGCCTTTCGAGGCTACTTTTTTCCTTTTTCTTTTTTTAAACCTAATACATTTGAAAATGTGAAAAATGAAGCTTGAACTAGTGAAACAAACAGATAAACAATATTTACTGCATGTACAGCATCTAAATCTAGAACTATGAAATGCCAAAAAAAAAAGTTTGTTATTTAAAAACATCCTGCTCATCTTTGCAAGAGATTTACCTATGGAAAGTTGCTGTTAATTTAAGGTAAGCACATATGAAATCTAACACTTTTCCTTCTTAAGGGTGATTAATTTGCAAAGAAGTTTTGTGAGCCTTATTAAGAAAAAATTCTTAGAGGCAAGCTAGCCAAAAGAGTCAATTACATTTGTTCAAATCTGTTTATAAAATTATTTACTTATGGGAACAAAAGTTATATAGAGGACCGATTAATATGTCTACTTAATATTAAATTCCAGGAAGGCCATGATAGAATTTCTATGGCAGAAATAAACATCAAGATTTATAGCAGTAGCCATGCATTGGCCTAGATCACTTTTAAATATTAATTCATGCAAACCATAAACCCATCAGAAACACAGCTGCTCACATACAGAAAATAAATCAAGACGAAAAATGGAAAACATTCATTTCCTTTCCTTCAAAATTTAACTTGCAGTCCATTTTAATAGCTGTTGAAGGTTAATTAAAATACAGTACAGTCTTAAGTTTCACAAGTGACATTATTTTAATGTGAGAACAATTAGACTATGGTATCTTTAAGAGGCATTAGAGAAATGTCCATCATTCAAAAGCATTAGGCACCAAACTGCATGGTGCTACATGAAGTAATTTACAGAAGGAACTCCAAAAGACATGGTCTATACAATGTGAATAGGGTGGGTATTTGCTTAATAAAATTTGTAGATGTTATTTATAAGAATTTAAGATTACAGATTTATTTGATGAAGAAGGTTTCCAAACCAGAAGCTATCAAAGGGCAACAGCACAAAATAAGCACTAATGATTATTTACTTTGCAATAATTATAACACTTTTATAAATAAAAACTATGAATATACAATCAATTACTTTTTTTGACTAGTATGCACTTCCTGAAAAACAAACAAACATGACACACGATGCAGAACAAATTATTATGTGGCTTTCATACTGGATATTTAGAGTATTGAATTGAAAAACTAAAATATAAAATGTAATGATCAAAATAAATGCTGATTGATTTCTTTCATTCATTTTTCCCCTGGAAATTAATTTGAATCATTGGTCCCATTTAATGACCACATGATTCAGGAAATGGCTAACATTATTTAGCAGAACACAAGTGCAACTGACTTGGTTATTACGTTTTCTGTTAAGTTAGCTGAAGCCGTCTCACATCAAAGCATAGAGAATGAGGGAAGGAGGGTGCGACACACACGTATCATTTCAGGTTCAATACCTTCCTGAGAAACACTAGTTTTCTGCTCATAATTTTAACCATATAGCATAGTTCTGGGTGTCAGACACCAATATAATTTTATATGCATATATAGAACATTTAGAAAGACCATGCTTAATACCACTATGCACTATTTAACATTAAAGGTGCAACTCCCAGCCTCTCAGTGCTAAGTGAATGAAAATTTTATACAATAAGTAACATTTCCTAAATTGTAAACATTGTAAAGCAATGGTGTTAGCATTTGCCAGAGTCCTTATGAGGGACGTTTTAATTGAAGAATTCTTGTCTTTGATAAGGGAGCCCTGGTGGCACAGTGGTTAAAATGCTCAGCTGCTTACCTAATGGTTGGTAGCTGGAACCCACCTGCCGCACCGCAGGACAAAGATATGGTATCTGTTTCTGCAAAAATGCTCTAATCTGTCCTATAGTGCTACCGTAGGGTCGTTATGAATTGGCAGTGGGTGTATGGCGTTTATTTTAGAAAACACACTTAACAGTTATTTCAACTGTTTATTTTAATCCTGGTAAAACTGTTACATTTCCCCTCTTAGTAAGGCTAAACAAATCAGAGGGTTTTCTCTCCTTGAAATTAACACTATAAAGTCACTGCAATTGCAATGTTATTATTTTACATTTTATCAAGAAGTCACCCTTTTGTCCCAACCACCTAGCAGCAAAGAGATTGACTTAATAGTTTAAAAAGGAGGATCATTGGGGAAGTGGAGGCATAGATTAGTCAAATTGCATACCAGGATCTTAAACATTAAGTTACTAACCATGAGTATTCCATTCATGTTAAAGAGCTCCATAGAAACAACCCATGTAAAATGTAAACATTTAGTTGTCTTAAGTTAGAAAAGCCAGTTACTATAGTCACGACATTTTGACTTTAAAATTTGTGGAGGAGGAAGCCATTGATGAGAAGAGGGCGAATGAAGCAGCTCTTCTGTGCATCTGCTGGGAAGTGTTTTTCTGGAGGGATGTACTTCATTCTTACCTTTCCATTTCTATGCTTTGACCTCAACTATCACCGCTGGGAAGTACAGGAAAACCTGCTCTGAATAACCATTTGGTAGCCAGTTAAAATCTGTGACTTCAAAATTTTGAGAATGGCCTTAGATTCTTGTACCTCTTAGTTTGCTAGATATTTTGCTTCATGACTCTCTTAGTTTGAACCCCAAATGGGAAGGCCCTAGGAAGATAGCATATAAACTCCCTGCTCCTTTTAGGTTAGAATCATGTGTCTGCTGTAACTTGTCTTCCTGGTAGAAAAGGTGGGAGGCATAAATCCTTCACTGTCAGTTGATTCTGACTCACAGAGACCCTGAAGGATAGAGGAGAACTGCTCCACAGGGTTTCCAAGGCTGGCATCTCCATGGAAGCAGAGTGACTCTCCTGCTGCAGAGTGACTGGTGGGTCCAAACCACTAACCTTTCAGTTAGCAGCCAAGCTGCTTAAACACTGTTCCACCAGGGCACTGTGGGAGGCATACTGGTAACTAAGTATTAGCTGAAAAGACAGTAAATTTAGGTTGAGGGGAAGGGCGAAAGGATGAAATGATTTATCTCAAGGGGTGATTTGTCTAATCGCCTCTTTTCTCAATTCCAGTTGACTTTTTTGTTGATTTCAAGAGGAAGTTCTACTACCTTTGATGCTGGTAAATCCACTTAAAGGCAAACAGGCTTTTGAATAAAAGGCAAAAAGTTTGCATCAATCTCTGAAGTGTATCTGAAAATTAGAACCCCCCCCTTTTTTTTAAATGAAAGCAGTACATTAAAAATAGTGTAGAAAATTGGTTGTGTTTTTTTAAACAGCCCCTTTACCATTTATTGTTGGTAGTAAAATAGACATTTTTCAGGAGATGTCTTGGAAATGCCCCAAAGAATCAAACTAAACATGCATTCTAAAATACACTAATGAAAAACCTACTCATGATTGAAACTGCTACTTGACAGTCAAGTTATAGGCTTAAATAAATGATGGGAGTTTTCAAAACTAGGAAGATGTGCTGCTTATTAGCCCCATTTAACAGCATGCGACCAGTTTGGGATGCTGCTCGACAACTGAACTGTGAAATACTTCTCAGTTTTTAGTAGAGGTCCAGTCACTGCAATACGAACCATGTGACACGGACCACAGATCTACCAGTGGGAAGAAATACGGAGAACCAAAACACAGTATAAAAGCCGAGCCAATGACCATTACAAAAGCTCATGCATTTATCAGACATGTTATTCCAAACATCTCCACAGAAGCTTTGGAAAGCCCACGCAAGTATGCAACATATTTTTCTTAAAGAAGGAAAACTTGAAGACGAAATGACATCCTCGATAGCAGAAGTCAGATATTTAGAAAAAATCTACATGACAATGAAACCTCATCAGAAATGATCACAAGACATTTAATACAATTTTAAAAACCAGTACTGTAACAAAACGACAGTCACAGTAACACATATGATACCTCACTTGGACAAATAAACGAGACCAACAAGAGAGAAGCAATTGTAAGGCCAAAGGTGCAACATCACAGAGTTTAGTAGCAAGTGCCTTGAAACACTCATTTTTGCAAATCACTCTGACATCTGAAAAGTTAAGTACACACATCTCACAGCAGAATGGGAAGTAAACCTTCTTTTACATTTCTAGGCAAATGACTACTGAATGAGAAACAGACTTCTGGAGCTTCTTTGGCAAACATTTATCAAGACAATTTTTGACACGTACACTTATTAATGCCTTGCTTAGACATTTTGTTCAGTAAGGTGAGTCAGTTCCTTAAGAATGCTGGTTGTTTTTTTTTTCTTCAGCATATCCTGAAATCTAAGTTTGGATATCATCCTTTTACCTTAATCCCAATTGAGTTATTTGGAATGGTTGGCCACCTGTGGTATGCCCAGCAAATTGACAGTCAGTTAAAGCCTTAGAGTGAGAATACTGAGCTAGCCTCAATTTAAGAAAGCACTCTGGTAAGACACAAGGTCATTTCCAATTTCTGGTTACAAAGACTTAGTAGCAGATAAAAACTGGAACGAGATGGTGTTACAGTATAGTTGCACAGTGCTTATGTCTAGAATATACACGAATCTGAATGTCAACCGATGAGATGAGCTCAGATCCAGCTTTCCCCTCCGTGAACCAGACTGGACTTGGGCAGTATATTCCAGCGAAGACCCAGCAGCTAGTCTCAGAGATGTAGCAGAACCTCCTTCTCCAGCACTCCTTTCTCACCATTCCTCGGGCCTCTGTTTTGTGGTATCATATGCTCTGATCACTTCAGACTGTGAAACAATGCCATTTTCATCTTGAGAAAAAGCATATCCATCTGTAAATTTATAGCACAAACGTGGTTAGAAATGCCAGTTATTCTGAGTTTTGAATATTTATTTACTAACTTGGAGAAGTAATGTCTTCCCCTTCTCATCCTCAAATGCATGAAGACCCTAATTTTGAGTGTCCAGAATAGATACAGGCTCAACTGCAGAGTGGGGAAAGGTGTAAGAGCAGGTTGCCAGAAAACTTTTTGTACTCTGTGAGTTCTACTCCCTCTGAGACAGAGCTGGAACCCTCAATCCTGCTCAGTTCTCAGTTTAATGAGTCCGATCCAACCTATCTAATTTTTGCTTGCCCCTATACCCAAGGGCGTGTGGCAGAGTGGATTTAGTCAAGCTGGCACATGTGTTTCAATACACATTAAATGGAGTTAACTGAAGAAGAAATGAAAGTGAAGAGGAGGAGGTAAACACAGAGATATCTGTTAAGGGTGGGAAACGGTCTTATCATTTTGACATTTCTCTAGGCTTTCTGCAACTACAAAGAAACCCCCAGTTGCCCTGACATGGTTGGAAGTGGATAAGAAAAGAACCCCAAAGGGAGCAGTTTCCAAGGCTTTAGTTTCTGGATCACATCTTTAAAGACGGCCTCTTGAAGTTTAAAGAGCAAAAGCATTAAACATGAGTATATATAAATCAAAATAAATTACATGGGGAAACAAGATGAAACAAAAAGATCTATTACTAACACAAGTAAATTCACTGTAGGGCTTTATATATTATATTCTTCTTTTAGATCCTTGAAATGTTAAGAGGGGGTGATACCTAATAATTTCTTACCACTCTAAATATTTTTGAAGGGAAAATATATGCTACATTGTGTTGTATGAAAGCTGAAAACCCTCTAGCAAAGTTATTCAAGGGGAAAAAAATAACAACACAATGGCAACTTTTTAGAGTGAAGATTTTTATTTTACTGGTTCTTTCTCAGATTTAAGGAAGCAAGAAGCATGTGGAAATACTGTTTTTCTTTAAGTGAAACACCAAGATTTAAAAATGATCTATCTGTTCTCTTAAAAGCTAGATAGCGTCATCAAAGACTTCTCTCTAACAATTTGTTCTTTATATTAACACATAGCAAATATGCAAAACTTGAGTTAGGTGTTCAATTAAAACAGCTTTATATTCCAGAAGCCAAAATACCACTCTGCTAAATAAAATACTAAAGTAGTGACAGTGAATTTATTCACAAGTGAGAACTCAAATACTCACGGAGCAGATTTTGCTGCAATGATTCGGAACGGTACAAGTTCACATGGTTCTTCTTAAAGACATTCTTGAGCAGTTGCGCCCTCTCCGTGAGGCTGCAGAGCAGGTGCAAACGTGTGAAATGAATTATCAACTCAGCAGAGACCCACTGGCCCACCAAAGAGAGGTTAGACTTAAAACAAAAGATTGCTTGAGAAATCTGTAGTCCAGAGATGCTTTTTACCCCACTTCCCCAAATAGCAAATGAGATTTCAAGTATCCAGACAGACACTTGGAGGCCATTTTTCCCTAGTTAAAGAACAGTTTTGACCCAATAACTCAGTCAAAATCAAGGCTTCCTCAACCACCAATTATATTCAAGTCAAATGGAGATACATTTATGCTCAACAATCAGAGGACTGAATTAAATGTTTTAAAAGGTTTCAGATTAATGACAAAACCAGATTTGAGATAAAATTTGGGGCAATAGTTTTCAATCCATTTATAGTACATTAAAGTGATGAGTCGAAATTACTACATAAACATTACTATATGTATATAAAGCTATACCTACTTTCCCGGCAAGCGAGGCATCTAAAGTTATTACTTACATTTTAATCCTCTGGAATGTTGAGTTTTAAAAATTATGATAAAATATATAGAACATTTGCCAATTCAACAATTTTTCTGTGTGTAATTCGACGACATTGATTATGCTCATCTTGCTATGTAACCATTTCCTTTATCCTTTGGTAAAGTTGACAAGTTGACATTTGTAGTCATGCTTCATACATTTTTTTTTAAACTACTTTGGATGTTAACTGATACTTCTAATTAGATATACTTTATTATCATCAGGAATTAGCTACATTAAAGCAAGAAAGCTTAATTAACCCAAAATTCTAGTGCTTCTACAAATAATTATAAAACTTATTTCTATGAAATAAACAGATATGGGGAATACCACTAGATTACAGAAAACAACACATGTATGTGTGTTTGTGTGTGTGCGTGTGCATATATTTTAGAAGTTATGAGTCTGATATTCCTAAAGATGTTTGAAGAACCTGCACAAAATAATTCATAAAAATACAAAATCTTCCAGCTTTGTATTTTTCTTCTAAACATTTGATTGACTTATTATGTATATTCTAAGCACGGCAGTTTAGGATTAAAAAGCTTAATTATTAATATATGTTTTTCAAACTTTGTAATATTCTGGTGCAAAATAATATTTATCCTTAATTTTATGTTAAAGGAAGCCGAAAGATAGTCAACAAAGAAATTTCATATGAATTTTTAATTGGAAAAACTCTATTAATATGCTCTAATATGGTATGAAATGTGTTCCTTAGTTTCATTTAAAAATGAGAGGAAAACTATTTTCAGAAAAGAAGTATGCTAAGTAAAATGATAAGGGAAGAAATTTAGTTTTAAATAAATATTTAGAATAGTCTTCTCCGCAGATGCAAATCCACATATAATTCATTACATAATTTCTAAAAATACACTGAATGAAATAACACGTCTGTTTTGTCCAGTACACAAACAGTGTTTCACACAGTAACCAACTGCTGGCGAGTGGATTCTGACTCACAGGACAGGGTTTCTGAGGATGTAAATCTTTGCAGAAGCCGACCGTCACATCTTTCTCCCATGGAATGGCTAGTGAGTTCAAACTGCTGACCTTTCCGTTAGCAGCAGAGCACCTTAATCACTGTGCTCTCTTCTCACATAGTAGGAACTTAAAAATTTGTTAAATAAATGAATTGGAGTAATAATTCTGGAATGTACTTATAAATATCATCAGTCTTCCTAATCACACCATTTCTCTGCTGGTTGATTTATAGAACCTTGCTTTGATATCAAACAGTGTAAGTATGAGGGGCAAATGAATAATCCACAGGATTTGTAGCAAATGTTTACCCAATTTTGTTTTAATCACTGGAACTGACTCAGATGAAAATTTTCCATCTTGCACTTTCTCCACTATAAAAGATTTAGCTAAACTGCCATGGTAAGTTAGATTAGCTGTACGTTTTGCCAAATACTTTGAGACCCTGAAATGGAACAGTGTTTATCATAGACAGAAAGAGGATCCTCTGCAAAATGAACTGAAAGCAATTCTACAAACATTTAGGCAAAACCAGAAAAAAAAAAAAGAAAAGCTGAGAAATGTTGACTTGTGTAGTCATGGTCCAAACACATATATTTTTTAAATGTCTTGAAATGTTAGCTGATAATTCTTATGAGATATATTTTATCATCATCATCAATTAGCTACAGTAATATAAGAAAGCTAATCAATCCAAAATCCTAGTGTTTATAGCTAGTGCACACAGCTTCAAGACATGTTTCTAACAGCGACAAAATCAGACATGGGGAAGGAAAACGGGCCACTTTTACAGAGTCAATTTTCCTCTTCTTCTCTTTAAGTGATTTAACATTCCGGAGCCCAGGACCCTCAGGGACATTGCATTATGTCACTGCTTGGAGGAAATCAGCTGCTTTAGCTGCAGGAGGCCTGATTTTGTTAGCTGAGCTCTGTGAAGGGGAGACTGGCCACATTCTGGTGTTTAAAATGGAAATGACTGCAGAAGACTAGAGGAGGGCAATGTATGATCATCCAGTTCTTCTTCCACAAACACATTTTAGAGGTTTCATGCTGGGCTTTCTAAATGCCTGCTGTCTGAATATTACAACACTAACATGGTAAAAAAGCCGATGTGAGACTTATCTCTCCTATTATGACACACGGAGCACGGTGGTTCTGTAGGAATGGGAACCGCATGGCGGGCGGTTTGAGCCCAAAGAGTTATTCCACAGGAGAAAGATGAGACTTTCTGCTCCCACCAAGATTCCTAGCCTCGGAACCCCTATACATGGTCATTATGAGTTGGAACTGACTTGACAACAACAAATTATGACACAGGAGAAAGTCATTTTGTTTAGTATAAAGCTATACTTTCACTCAGTTATTACATCAAGTTAATGTTCAGTTGTTGGTGGGAGAGGAGTCTCTTTCTTGGGAAAGTAGCATGGGTTTTGGAGTCTTTGTGCTTGTTGTTAAGTGCTGTGGAACTCGTTCCAAGTCATCCTGGTGTGGCGCTGTGGGATAATGCACTGGACTGCAAGGCTGGTTTGAACCTCAAGGTTGGTGGTTCAAATTTATCAGATGCTCTTCGGAAACCCTATACCGGGTAGCTATGTACTGGAATAGACTCAACAGCACTTAAAAACAAGTGAGAAGCGGCTGGTGGATTTGACCCACCCACCTTGTGCTTAGCAATTCAGCAAGAGACCAGAACTCCTTACTTAGGTTTAAATTCAGAGCCTGTTCCTGATTATTTGGTCATCTCAGGCAAGTCTGTCTCTGTCATCCCCTATGAGAGAAGGACAACATTTCAACCCTCAAGGCGACCAGGAGGATTCAGTCCCTAGCATAATTGGAAGCATTCAACAAACAGTAGTTCCTCTCACCCTTGACACCAGATCGCAAGGAATTTACTATAAAAAATCAACTAGAAGAACAGACATCATTTCTGATGCCTACTGCCGCACATTGGGAGCACCACAGGATAGGCACTGGACTGCGAATCGCAAGGTCGGGGGGTGGGGTTCAAGTCCACCAGTCGCTCCATGGGAGAAAGATGAGGCTTTCCACTCCTGCAAAGATTTACTACCTTGGAAACCCTAAACAGACAGGATTGCTATGCACTGAAACCAACTTCACGACAATTAACAACCTTGCTGCACATAAGTTTTAATTTATAATGGCCCCAACTCCATCTCTGTAATAGGAAAACTAATATATAGTGGGATTTTGTTGTTGTTTAGTTTTGTCTCAGCTTCGCTGAATTTCTTGCTTTAATCTCTGTTGAGCAGAGAGTTGCTCCTACAGAATATAAATACCAGTCACAGAAGGATGCCTAATAAATTACAACTCTGGTAGCGTAGTGGTTACGAATCGGGCTGTGAACCTTAAGGTCAGCGGTTCGAAACTACCAGCCGCTCCGCGGGAGAAAGATGAGGCTTTCTACTCCCGTAAAGATTTACACCCTCGGAAACCCTGTACAGGGTCGCTATGGGTCAGAACTGACTCAACGGCACTTAACAACAACAACAACAATGATGAGTTCTGTTTCTTTAGTGGTGCTGCAGGATGATGCACTGGACCGCAAAGGTCAGTCGTTCAAACTCACCAGCCACTCCTTGGAAACCCTATACATAGTCAGATCTGAGTCGGATCTGATTTGACAGCACTTAACAACAACAAGAGGACTTGAAACATTTACTGATGAAGATCAAAGAGCACAGCCTTTGATATGGATTACATCTCAATGTCAAGAAAACAAAAATCCTCACCACTGGACCAATAAACAACATTCTTATCAATGGAAAAAAGATTGAAGTTGTCAAGGACTTCATTCTTCTTGGATCAACTATCAACACTCGCGGAAGCAGTAGTCAAGAGATCAGAGGACATATTGCTTTAGGCAAATCTGCTGCACAGGAACTTTTTAAAGTATTGAAGAGCAGAGATGTCAGCTTGAGGACTAAGGTGCGCCTGACCCAGGCCATGGTGTTTTCAATAGCCTCATATGGATGTGAAAGCTGGACAGTGAATAAGGAAGAACGTAGAAAAATTGATGCCTTTGAGTTGTGGTGTTGGAGGAGAATACTGAAAGTGTCATGGACTGTCAAAAGAACCAACAGATCTGTTTTGGAAGAAGTGCAGCCAGAGTGCTCCTTGGAGGCCAGGATGGCTAAGCTTTGTCTCTCATACTTTGGACATATTGTCCGGAGGAAACAGTCGCTGGAGAAGGATGTCATGCTGGGTAAGGTGGAGGGTCAGAGAAAAAGAGGAAGACCAATAACGAGATGGATCAGCCAGGTGGCATCATTGATGGACTCAAGTGTGGCAGTGGTAGTGAGGTTGGCCCAGGATCGGACATTGTTTCGTTCTGCTGTGCATGGGGTCGCTATGAGACAGTTCCGACTCAATGGCACCTGACAACAACAATTCTACCTCTAGGGAACTACCCATCATTCCAAATGTATGAAATTTTATACCATCATTAATTATGGGCACTAATATTACTATCAAGTCATACTG